TTCTTATACAGTTACTTGTACAGGTTATGTTGCACAAGATTGTGTATTTTCATTGGCTCTAGATCTTGAAATATAATATGATAATGATTAGTGGGCATATTTATATGTGTAATCTAAGATCTCGCACTACCCTCCCCACACCAAAAATATTAGGTAATATATGTCATGGCCCTTATCATATTCGACAAATTGCCCAATATTGGTGTTATCTGGCAATTTATGATCATGATTGGTAGGGAGTCATTAACTGAGTATTAATTTAAATAAACATGATACATTGTAACACATGAAAAAAATAACAAGACAGATGGCAATTCATGATCATAAGAGTTTGTCAGATAAAGTATATTAATAAACCCACATTAACCAAATTAATATAATTTGCTAAAAAAGGAAATAAAGTAATGAATAACGAAAATTAAAAATAATTAAAAAAAAGGATTAGATGGTCTTTTATATAGTAAATAGATTTGCATAGATCAAATTTGGAATGAATAACGAAATATCAGTTTTGGTAAGACAATGACAATTTTACTGAACAATTTCCGCAACTTTGTCTCCGATTAAGTTTATTATAAAGCTTATTTGGCATGACTTTATCTCTAAAAACTATTTCTCTAATATGATACTCATCATCATAAAGGGTTACAATTTGGCATTTTATTATGTAGCTGTAAGTATATATATTTTAAGTAAATTTCCATCTTATTGATTTAGGAAATGAGACTTAACCATCTTTAAAGGCTTTGTTTCAACCATTTCGTGATAATAAACTATATGAAAATTATTAAGACTAAAAATTGGCAGTTCTTAAAAAGCATTAAGAATATTATTTTTAAAAGATTACCTTGTGATTCCACATCAACACATGCCATTTTGATCACCAATTTTTTTTAAAGTTTTCTGAGCAGATTGAGACAATTCATGACTTCTTAAATATTTAAATATTTTAGGTACTTTAGCAATTCAAAGAGTTTTCATTTTTAGAATCTTTGTCGAAAAAAAAAATTTATTATCGATTGTTTTATTAAATTTATTCCAATAAAGTTAAATCAAAGAATATTCTTTGTTATTTTCTCAAATTTCGGGATATTATAAAAAATCTATTAACCTTTGGTCTCTCAAAAGCATTATAATCATTCAGGACATCAGCCTATAAAAAGATCATTATAAAATTATCCAATTTTTTGCTTAGAAAATCGACTCCGTTCTGAATATTTACTCAATCAAAAATTCTATATTTTACGTCCCGTACAAGCATTTAAAAAAAAGTATAAAAACCTCTGTTCTGAAAATTGACTCAAAGGGTTTGGCGACTTAGTGAAGTGGTTAAGTTGTCACACCCCAAGCGGCATGTTGGCTAGGTAGGGGGTTCAAAACTCACTGCCGACGAATTTTGAAAATTCTACTTGTACAACACCTACTGTCTTTCAACGATCAGTTGAAACAGAATCTCTGTAACCTTGGTGGCACCAACAAGATTGGGAGATCAGGTGGCATTTGTGCAATGTATAAGTTACATAAATATGTTCTTAGATCACATTAATCCAAGGAACCAGAAAGATGGATGCCTGCTTAGCAAGACCCGAGTAGAGAGGTAGCACAGATCTTTGATGGTACTACATAAAGAATTATCATTAGAAGAACCAGCAAAAACTGAACAGGACTGAAGTGTTAGGTAAGGCACTCCACCAACCAGGCTGCCGGAGTACTGGAGAAAAAGGACCCAATCGTGGGGACCAGGAGCAGGTTACAGCCCTTCCAGGCCATCTGGATTGGTAGTTTGGGATAAGTTGGGAATACCGGTAATAGTCTGTAAAGTGTGTACTGGGGTTTGGGTGAACTCTACAAGGGCAGGAGTAGGTAATGGTAATGGCTTCGGCTCGCAAGTACTTGTCCTCGGACTCAGCATAAGTTACCGAAAAATTCTAAGTTAACCAGATTGTGGGTATGGAAAGCTTAATAATGATACTTCGAGGATAAAGTAGTCCTAAGGGTATAGGAAGCATCCGGTACAATGTCTTGGTGATACAAATAAGGTTGCATTACAGAGGGTTTAAATGGGTAGCACCCGTAGTTGGGTTATAGGTATGGCATCTGGTGTAGAACCTATATAGGTGGACTACTTAAATAGACACCAAAAGTGTACGTGTGGCTAGTATATACTCTCTAATGTAGGAGTTTACAACTCCTTATCCAAAATCTTGAATAAAACCTTAGTCCCAAAGAGGCTAGTTTAAAAAAATAAAAAATAAAAAATTGAAAATCGACTCAACTCCGAATAATTTTAGATCACATTTTTTATAGGACCAGGAATATTGATTTACTAAACGAATCAGAATATTGTTAATTGCTGAAGTTACTCTAATTTTGATTCCATTTGCAATGATTACAATAGATAATAATTGAACCGGAATCAATTGCGGAATTAATAATTTCTTTAATATAGTATTTTTATCATCCTGCACTATACATTTAACACCATTAAACTCAGAGCTCAATGAAGTTAAACAACTAGGTGTGATCATTTGTTTGGATGTTTGAAGTTGTAAATATGGCATTTTAGTTTTACAGATTAAAAATTGATTCTGAATGTTTATTAATTAATTTCAAATATTTAATAAGCCATTTAGTGTAATTTAAATGACTAAAATTTACGATCTCCTACGGAAACTATGTGATATTTCTATCAAGAATACTGCCTAAAAGTAATTGGCGATTGTATTTATGATAGCTGTCTTTGGATTCCAACTTCACTCTACAAGTAATTACGTAATTTAAATGACTAAAATTTACGATCTCCTACGGAAACTATGTGATATTTCTATCAAGAATACTGCCTAAAAGTAATTGGCGATTGTATTTATGATAGCTGTCTTTGGATTCCAATTTCACTCTACAAGTAATTACTAAATTCATACTCTTTTTGGTTAGGGACATTAATATTTCTTTTATGACCGAAGGTTAATTTCTGTGCGCATTATTTTATAAAATACACAGGTTTGGTATCCCAAGTTCATAAAAGTAGAACAAATTGACAATGAAATTTGTATATGCAGTAAATCAAATTTCGTTGAAACAGTAAAAAAGTCTAATACAGTAATAGAATGTATACTAAAATTTTGCAAGGAATTTTTTTGTTAGAACATGGAAGATGGTTTTGTAACAAAATTTTAAGTTGTCGGCGATTTTTGAAAAATTACAATTTTTTTTTGAAAATTCATGTTACACCTTATGATTTGATTGGTAACGAAATGTGGCGTAGTCTAACTGTTGGGGGAAATTATGGCACTCCGAAATTACAGGAAGGATCACACCTTTTTGCAAAACGCCATAATAATACTGATACGGCGATTGTAAATGGACTTTTTTGACTTTAGTATTACAAACCGATGTCAAGAAACATGCATTCGATTAAGAAATAAAATTTTCACTAAAGACTAACCAATTTGTTTACTTATTATAGTAAATTCTTTATCAACACCATAATCAACTATGTTTTAAAGCATTTTATTAAATTAAGAAAAAACAAACATCAGTAAAAAGTATAAATTTTTTTTTACTATCCCTAGCTTATAGACTATATAAAATCCTTTCTATTTAAAATGGTAAATTAACAAATTTCAAATAAGTTTTATATAAATCAATTCAGAATAAGATCAAGATTATTTTTTAGTTAAGATACATACTCAGTTGCATTAATAAATTTTATAGTATAGTTTTTTGAAATCTGTATTTTTTTGATTTATTATAAAATTTATAACAACATTAAAACTATTTAAAATAATTCTCAAATTTTTTTTACTTCAACCATTATCTAACCAAAGTTTTATTACTAACTTCAATTTATTTATTAATTTGAAATAAAATCTGTCAATTAATAATTCTATTCATTACACTATGCCCTACATTCTTCATAATAGTCTGTTCTTGAAATTGCCACCTTCTTCAGATTTCAAATACCATCCAGATGCCTTGTTTTTTATTTGTAACTGCATCATTGCTTTACCTATGATATTTTGATAACCAAACCAAAATCAAAAAAGCGCCACCTCTAGCAAACTTTAACAGATTCTAAAATTACAATTTCTAGTTGCACTGTCCGATTTCTAAATGCCACCTAAACGATTTTTTATTTCTAGCCATGCCTGTCATTTTGATAGCACCTATCCAGGGAATTTTACTTATCAGAATTGACATTTTTAGCTGATTTCAAATATAATACAAATTCAATATAACAATAATTGCTTACTTTTAGGGTGTGATCATCTTTTATGGAGAAAGGCTTATTTTTTGCATCTTTACGTTATTTGATTTGTAAAAACACCAGCAACAACTTTATTTTAAGAACCACAGTGTGATTGGAACTAAGATTTAAGCGAAATTTTTAAAATAAATTTCGTAGCATTTGTAATTTATGAAATCAAGCTAAAATTTTTGATGCAATGAATACTCTTAAACTTAATGGACAAGTTTTAGTAATAAAAAATTTTCGCCTTTAAATTATATAAATTATTTAGGCTTAAATAACAAATTTTAAAGTTTTATATAAAATAATGTTACAAATTTAAGATATAAAAAACCAATGTATGAAGAATTTTTCAAATGTAAACAATCATATTTAATTTCATTTACCTAACCTCTTTAATAGATCAATTGCTCTTTTATTATTCCCATTGGCAGCTAATCTTAAATAACTTAACCCGCGATCTTCATCCTTCTTCACTTTAAGTTTTCCACCCACGTAAATATCTCCCAAATAATACATTGCATCAGTACTTCGATTATCAGGATTGGGTTTTTCAGCCGCTAATTCAAAATAACGTAGAATTTCCTTGCCTAATTCATCTTTTTTAGTTATATTATTTTCTTTATTATAGTCAAGAAGCAATGAAACTGCATATCTGCACTGTGATTCAGCATGATTATTTTCATCAGCAGATTCTTTGAAATACTTTTTGGCTTGGTCCAAATCTTTTTCTCCACGATATCCGTAATATAAGTAATATCCTAGCCAGAATTTTGCTAATGGATTATTAAGCTCGGCATTTTGTTTGAAGCATTCCCATGCATCATCATATTTCTTATCTTTATGCATCTTAATACCATCTTCAAGAAGTACAACTGCAGCTTCTTCAGGAATTTCAGGATCTTCAAATTCTATAGAAGTTTCAGACTCTTGTCCATCAAGATTTAATGCTTTATTTTTAAAAAGTGGTGGTGAGTGATAAGGAATTGGGAATTTATTAGCTAATTTTTCAAGCTTTTGTCTCAGTGTAGGAATAGTTATTCGCAATTCAGGTTGATGGCACCATGCTTTTCATCAATTAAATAAACAAAAGTAAGTTAAAATAAGTATGCCCACTAAAGAATAAATGTTAAAGAAAAATCTTGATAGAATTACCGTCTTGAATGAATTTAATAAATTTTAATTGAATTTCTTTATCGTTAGGGTCTTTAAATTTTCCTTTTAAAACTTTTTCTCGTTTACCACTTAAAACATGATCAGATATTAGTTTAATATTCCAATCCGCATAAGGCAACTTTTCATAACAAAGTTCCCATAAGAGCATTCCAAAACTAATTGTGAAGAAAATTAGAAAGACAGAAAATAAAGTAAACGCAGTACAAATATCCATATAATTACCTAAACATTTCACAATTAAATGTATATACCCTTTCATTGTTACGTTGACTAATATATTTTTTGATTAATTCAGGTGCCATCCAGCGAACAATGTATGTTGCTAATTGTGAAAGATTTGTAGAATTGGCATTTACTTCACGTGCACATCCGAAATTTCCAAGTTTTACGCTCAAATCTCTTAGTACCTATAATTTAATGTTAATAATTATCATTTTGAGAAATACTACTGTAAAAATTATTTAATTATACTTACAAAAACATTTTCGCACCTAAGATCATGATGAAAAACATTTACTGTACGTAAAAATACAAGACCAAGAAGTATGTCTTTGGCAATTTGTATTTTTCTAGTCCAAGGGATGTCATACTCGTTATAAAGGTCCTTTAAATTTCCTTGTTCAGCCCATTCAAAAATCATAACTTTAGAGTTATTAATTTCTGAGAGCCCATAAAACATGAGAATTTGAGGTGATAAACTTAATTTTCTAAGGATTGCCAATTCTGTTTCATTTCTGTCATCAATAGGCTTACATGCAACTTCTATTGATGATTTATACATCATTTTAAGGGCCTTGCCTCTGGTTGTTTGAACTATAGGATCACTTAGTTCACTTGGTTCAATCTTATTCGCATCACCTTGTTTAGTCGTTTGCATAAAGTCTATACGTTGAGCTACTGCATCAATTTGATCGCTAATTTGTTTGAAGGACTAAAACAGATAATAATGAAGTTTAAAAGTAACATTATAAGGATATTATATTTCCGAATAACTAAACTTACTTCATCACATTTTTCTTCAACTTGTTTGACGGTCTAAAATGGATGGTCGTAAATTTTAAAATTAATATGATTACCATACTTCCGGATAACTAAACTTACTTCATCACATTTATCTTCAACTTTTTTGACGGCCTAAAATGGATAATCATTAAAAAATGAAAATTAATATAATAAGGTTATTATATTTCCTAATAATTGAACTTACTTCTTCAACTTTGTCATCGAGTTGTTTGAGTGTCTAAAATGAATAATCATAAAAAAGATTTAAACTTAATATAATAAAATTACTATGTTTCTGGATAAATAAGCCTACTTCTTCAACTTCTTTTAAAGCCTTTTCAACTCTTTCAGATTCTTCTTTTCTATCAGCAGCGTTAGAAACATCGACAGCAAAGTGCAAATCACTCCTGCACCTATCAAATTCATCTATTAATTGCTCAAATTTATGTTTAACATCTGTTGCAAGAAAAAATTTTTTATAACCTTTAAGTTTTGATACACTCTTAGTAAATTCTTTGACCTGTGTTAAAATATTTTTAAATTTTTCAAAATTTTTAAAGTATGATTTTTTGCGCAGATCTTCCTCTTTCTTTTCTATGCTTCTAACTATCTTATCCATAGAACATGCTGCTGCTTCTACACGATCAACCATAATCAGGCAAAGTTCTTTATTACATTCTGCATTTTCGTAAATTTGATAAATATCTTTAACCAGTATTTTCACTGCGCTGACTATAGGAGTATAAATGCCCAATAAATCAATAGCAGCGTCAAAGAGTTCGGCCATTGTTAGGTAAGATTATAATTAAACATCTAAGCACGTAAAAACTCCTTTTATAAAATTTGATTAATGACATTATTTGGTATTAATATGCCCTTATAAGGAATTGTGTTAGTGTTTATACATTATTTATTTGTCCTAACTCTAAATAGTAATAAATATAAAAACGCATTAGTGTGTCAAAAAATATACAGTAATTTGTTACGCCTTGGGAAAAGTTTAACATTGAAAGATCTGTTGATCCAACGGCTGATGTACATAACATATTTATTAGATAAATGCGACTGCAGGAGTGTTCGATGTACTACGTACGTACATAACTTTTGCATTCATTAATGCAATGGCACAAAAATTTTGCCAGCATTATTATAAATGTTCTAGACAACATTATTTACATAACAAAAATTACATATTAGAAATTTATACGCAAATCTCCACCCTATATCCCTACATAAAAAAGGCTATACATTATATATGATACTTTTCAACGATAATTTTAACATTATAAATGTCGTTCAATATTACTAAATTGTCGTTTAAATACTTGCCCAACATGTTTAGTGCTGTAGTGTGTTTAGTCTGTGCGAAAACATATACATTTAAATTATATACAATGTAATTTATATGTATATATCGTTATGTATCGATCATGCCGAAATCAATAACTTAACCGGATCGGCCAGAAAACCATTCGGCAAATTTTTATCAGGTGTTTCATTATGAAAACAGCTGTAAAAATTAGCCAAATTATTTTCGGCCGTTTAGTTAAGTTATTGATTTCGGCATGATCGATGTATATTTTTACACATAATACTTGTTCTAATATTCAACATTATTGATTTTTGTTTGAATATGTGTTTGGTATGTTTAGTTTATACGACAAGAAATATAAAAATGTCTCATCTCAACATATTTATAATAAACATATTGCTAATATTAAAATTTTGATTAATCAAGAATTTGTTGACTGGTTTTAAATGCAACTCAAGATACTTGTCGAAAACGTGTTACGAAAGTTGTTCAATACAGCCATATCTTTGAAAACTCGACTTGTAGAAGATCTTCTAGCACCTAGCGTTTAGCAATTTTCGAACTACACATTGTCCTTGTTAATATCAACATACGTTAATATCAACCTAAGCCACAAACCAAATTTTTATAAATTTTTATATATCAAAATCCCCTCATAAATATCAACTTTACCATGGTCCCTCACTAATATCACTATCAATATGAATAAAAGAGTGATCCAATGGGTTGATATTAGCGAGGGTCAAGTGTAATAAATTTTTTTTCAATTATTTGCCAGAGAAATTGCTTTGAAAGGATAATACTGTAATATTTCTGTATTTAACCAGAGATATACATACGTACCTATGTACTAGTCTTATAACATGTATACCAATATCGGAAAACCATTCACAAATTTTTATCAGGCGTTCCAGAATTTATGAAAACAGCTATAAGTTGGTGATTTTGACATGATTCATATAAAAGCTAGTTGTATCATGAGTAGTGTTGGCAGGCGAAACTATTTTTGGCAAATGGCGAAAGACGAAACTAAACCGGCGAAAGACGAAACCTGGCGA